TTCACTTAGAAACCTTTTGTAGAAGAATAAATAAACGTATGGCTCTTAAATCTCACAGCCAGAGTTTTAGTGAACATATTTCGCTCTCGTTTTTACCCCCTGCGGCAACATTTGGAAACCCTTGATTGGTCCTCGTAAGTCAGCTGAAGCCTATGAAGATACATGGCTGTGTTTATACCTCACTCCTTGTTTGTATCTTGCTATTCCCTGTTGTAATGTATCATACCACACTTGTATTCTCATAATGTAATTATATATATATATGTAACCATACTTATTTCAGTACCATACACATATTCACCATACTGCACAGGACGCTCTGTACGAATGAAAAATCTACACAAAAAAAGGGAAGTTGTGTCATCTTTGCCATAACAGCTGAGATCTCAGAGGTGTGTTATGCTGATGTATTTCTGCTATACAGGCTTCACCATTAAAGGAACAGTTCACCCTAAAGCAAAAGTTGGGTTAGCCAACTTAACTGATGTTTGTGCCACTACAAAATACATATGTAGCTTCAGGCTTATCTCAAAACATCTTTAAACAATAGGTCATCGTTTCTCCCAGGTGGCCAAAAATATCAATTAACCCATCACCTGTAGTCTTGACATAATTGTGCAGATATCTTAAAAGCATTTAGAGAAACATGACGTATACTCAGAAGTTGAAAAGGGAAATCTGAGGCTAAATAGTTTGGCTTTAAAATCCACATTTTATTTTGAGGTGAACTATTTCTTAAAGATTATTCTCACTGAGTGTCTAGCCTCAGTGAGCTGTGCGACACAAGGCGTGTTGGCATCAACAATCAGAATGTAATGTTCAAGTCAGATGAATTTTCTTTCGTCATTCAGGACAGACAGTATTTCAGACACTTGGCCATGTTGTGGCTTTGTGCTGTTCCGAATGTGTTTCAACTGTTTGGATTATCCCTCCTCAGACTGACTTCCACCCGACTACTCCATGAGATCAGGGCCATGGGCGACAGAGTAGTTAGACAGGACCCCTGAAGATGGAAACAAAATAAGTTTGAATGGCAGAAATGTTTGAATTCGACTTTAATTTGCAGACTAAACAACGGGGGAAATTGTTTATCCAGCACTGAATACAATTAGTCAATTAAAAAATAATCATTATTTTGATAAAATACTCACTTCTGTTATTTTTAAATAAGACTACCAAACAGAAGTTTTGTTTTTGTTTTATATTCATCATTCATTTGTAACCCTACCTTTTTATAATGCACCAATATTGACCATAGTAACTTTGCAGAAGCCAGTTTTAAATCCTGACTGTAATCTACTATTAACCAGCAAACTGGTATTGATTATGAAGCTCCATAGAAATGTCCCAGATAACTCGATCAGTTCGGGGGACACCCGCTCGCTGCACTGAATGTCACAGGGCCAGTTTTCGGGGGGGCCCACACTGCTCACTGCCTTACAGGAGCAGCACCATTATAGCTCACTGACGGAGCTGGAATCATGACCGGAGAGACAGCAGTCCTTCCTTCACCCTGCTTTCTGACCTCACACGCTTCCCTTGTGGACTTTTGTATTTCACTTCATTAATTTAAACATAACATTTATAACCTTTCACACTCTGCAGGACAACCGAGTCACCCAGAGAAAACCCACAAAAAAAAGCTTAATGTCAAGAATAATCACTGCAGAATCCATAGTATCATTGCTGTAATATAAGCTCACTTCTTCCTTTATCTTCCTACTCTTCGTTTGTCCTCCTTTCACCCATTAAACCTCAACTCACAAAGATGCTATTAGGTCACACATGAGTGTAAAATACACTTTTCTTTCCTTTTGTTTTGTACAGTTCAAGACATCACGTGTTTGGGGGCAACTTTAGACAATGTTCCAGACATATGTAGCACATTTGTAGCGGTCAGACCCGCTAGGTATTATTTTGTTTTGTGAATCTTTCAGAGATTTTTGTTTGTCTGTACATCACGATTATAACTGTTATGCTGTGATTTGTTTATTTGTTTCATGACATTGTGATTCCTAGTGACTAGGCCATTAGTACACCACACTGGGGAGGCCTCCTCAACCATACACACTACCTCTCCGCCTGCCCACACGGACTCAAACACTGAATGCATGAACACATGCACTCAGTGTGCCTGGCTGCAGCACAGCTGATTGACAGATTTAAGAAGGAAAACAAATCTGGACTAAACTATCCATGTTTGTACCGTGAACCCAAAGTGACAAATAATTTGTTGCGGTGCATTTTGTTTGCCAAAGTCGCCTGTATTCAGGCCAGTGTGTTAAGTTGGGTTTCCACTGAAATGTTTCACGCCATGTTTTTTACACCATGCTTTTGAAGCCGCAGCAATATGGTACTGTGTTGTAAAAAAGATTTTCCAACAACCTCCCAACACGCGCCTAATAATCAGGTGCCAAAATTCAGCGCTGCTTGCCATGTATTTTCCACATGATTTCACTAAACAAAGCAGGTGTTTGTGTATTATTCTCAATAATTAGTTTGGCCTGCAGTCACCATGGAAGGAGTGTTGTTCAGATGGCCTCTTTAAGTGCAAGTATGTTATTGTTGTTATTGATAATCACTTGATCTGGTTTTATTTTGTAACATGTGGAAATGGAAAACTGGATTTTTTTTTAATATATATGTATATGAATAAAATGCTGTAAAGTGCAGTCATTAATTAAGAGATTTCTCTTTCACATCAATACAGAAAAATAATAAATCCACAGTGAAAAAAAGTTGCTTTTGTCCGCCTGTTTAATATACGCTTGTCACTGGTAGTCCTCCAGGGGGCGGCAAAGTCACCAAACAGGAAGTAAACCACTCCTTATGACAGCGTTGAAGAAGAACAGTTTCTTGTGTACCTCCGGTTAGCAAAATGGCTCAAGGTTCGAAGAAATTTAAAACTCAGCGGCCAGGAATCTCTAAAAAACCCCATCCAACCAAGCCAAAAGGACAGAGGAAAGGAGGTATGTATTTAAATTATTACTTGTAATCTAACGAGTTGCTCGGAAAATAGGATATGTTAGTCAAAAAGCATTAACGCGTGACATGCGTGGAAACAGCTGAACACGTTTTAGTTAAAGTGACGCGTGTTGGGATATTTACAATATCAAGCAGATATGAAGACATTGATTAATATTAGTTGTTCTCCTTCCTCCAAAATATTATATTCATCATTAAACTAAGAGACTAGCTAAATAAAACCATGTGAAGGATTATGCCCCTGTGTCGCAGACCTTAATGAGTTGAATAACGTAGCTTAGCTCTACTTTGATTTGAACCTTAGCCAAGTATACTAGAACCGATGTGTTGCATATCTTTAAGGAAAACTACTGAATACATGTTCTTAGCCTGTGTTGCTGTGTTAACTTGATGTATTATAGTGGATTTAATGAGAAAATTAATATGAATCAGCCACTGTTTAGTAGCTGTAATGCTTACATATACCTAGCTAAAATGCTAATACCATAAGTAGTAAATCCTACTTTCATGAAGGTAACGATGTTCATTCTTTGGTGCAACTGTTAAACCGTATTTTTTTATACAAAAAATGCTTCTTTGAACCTGTTTGTTAGTGAAGACTAACTCTTTTTTTTGTTTAAACTGAGTAAAACACCATAAATTGAAACATCAAACACAACAAACTATAAAAACAGAAGCCTACAAAATGACGAATTGCATTTCAGGGCCATCTCGTGTTAGACAGTTGCATTTTTAAAGTGTGTCTTTATTATTTAATTTGAAGAACTGATGGCAACAGCTTTTGGGAATATGACAGTGATGTTATTGCTTTCTTTGTTAAGGGAGGCTCATTGCACCAAAGAAGGCTCACGTGGTTGAGGAACAGAAGCTGAAGAAGGTTCGGACAATTCTAACAGAACGTTTCTCACATCTCTTACATCCTGAATTGATTACATAAAAGAGCTTGACTGATTCATTGTATAATATGACCTCCTCTGCTGCTTCCTAAAGGCTTTAGAGATTGCCATCAGGAACAAGATTGAGATGGAAGTGACCCATAGGGCAAGCACATGCCTGCACAAGCCACTGAGTGTGGTGAAAGGGGCTGAACGGCCTGAAGGCAAAGGCATCCCAGGACTTCCCCGTCCAGATAGCAGCTCCAAATAGGACCGGATACAAAACCCTGAGGCTGACCGTGCTAAACTTAAGGACTTAGTCACGGGGTCATTTAACTACATTGATCCCATGACTCATATTTAAAATGCATGCCAACTGTCTTGCTGTTTTTATCATTCCTAAATATTTGTAGCTGACTTCAGTCATACAGAAATAGACTGAGCCCCTCTTGTACAGATGTTAATTCTTACTTTTCAGTTTACAAAGAAATGTATACATAGAGATTCTGAATGTGATCTGCAGGACTCTGAGAATTGCATAAACCCTCACTAGGGGGCACAACAGGACTTTCTTTACTCGTGGAATTTGTGATGGGTTGAAATGCTGCAAGAAAATATGATTTGATGATGTTTGTGCTCTACCACCCTGCAACTGTTTTGTAACATTCTTTGTATGATTGTACAGCCAAAAATGAATAATAAGAGTAAAACCACCAGTCACCGATATGAATCCTTTGAAGTATGTTCGCCACACTTTTTCTCAGGGAAGTGCTATTGCACATGGAACGTGTTGACAATCACAGGTAGCTTTCCCACACAAGCCCACCTGTTTCAGTGAGCTCAAAGCTGTTAACTGAACTGGTAACATGTGGAGCCATGTGCTTCCACAGGCAGCCTATTTAAGTGTTTACACTGTAGGATTAAGTAACACTATTTTGCATGGCCAGCTGCACCTGGCACTTCTCACAATGCAACTAGAATGTCATCAGTTAGGTCAGGTGTCTTACTGGTAGCACCTAATGTAGTTTTACCACAGTTGAAATTGGAAGAGTTCCCCTTTGAGGTACACTACGCATTTGGGGTCTTAAATTAAAAGCCATGAACCAGACCATTGTACTACATGTTACAATGGTGATTCACCATTGTACCCTTGTTTCGCTTTGGGTTGTCTTGAATAAACAGCAACACCTAAGGAATGGGCTTGAGGTTTCTCAAGTGCTGTATCAACAGACCAGCACTGTGACAGCTAACCAGCCAGTGATAAGACTGAACGCTGTTTGAAAGGTTTCCATGTCAACACTCGCTCTCAAGCAACCCGTTCCAGAACACAATTGGTAAGCTTCTTGAGGAAATAGCGCTTACATACAATATGTATAAAAACACACTAATCTTCATTAAGTACCACAACGTGAGCTGTCTTTTATGAGTTTTTATTTATTTGAATCCATTATGGATGTCGCTTCTAACTCATTACAGCTAGCTATATGTATGCTTTTAGTTAAGGTTTCTATGCTTTACAACTACCATTCAGAAACATACCAATGACAGAAGGCATTATGCATTTGGTGCACAAGGACAGCACTACCATATGAAAAACAATCTCATAACAAGGTAGTTGTGAAAAGGGTTAGTAAAACCCAATTAAACAGCACAGATTCACCAGCACTTATTTCTAAAGCAGGTCTGTAGTAAGTACAGTGCAAGTCTAGTAAGCTTTAATGGAGTGATTGGAGCGCAGGAACCTGGGGAAGGAGTCTTTCGCCATCAGATTGTAGATTCTCTGCTGTGCATCATCGAATGTGTCAGCACACGGAGAGTCCGTCACTCCAAGCAGAGCCTCCCGAGTCTCAGCGTCCAAGTTTACCTGAGGGGAAAACAGATTATCAGAAGAAGCTCTTTAATTATATCTTTATCCTGACTGCACGCATCACTCTCCTCTCCACGAACCTCTTGTGGGGCGTCAGGGTTGATAAACTGGTTGTAGATGCTGCTGGACTTTATCTTCTGCACGTTAGAAGGAGAAACTCTGTACTCCTGACAGGCCAGCCAGAACTCCAGGTTCTCGTCACTGAACTCTGAGCGCAGGAACCCACGAAACGCCAGCAGAGCGCCTGGTTGAGAGGGAGAAGAACAAAGCAGAGTCAAAGATTAGTCAAATCAAGAAGAGATCACGTTAGAATATGGAAAAGCATGATGCCAGAAAAACTCAGGCAACATAAAGATCAACATTTCATACAAAGATATGTTCATGCTTGCTTGACACTGTTAGAGCTCTATATTCCACTCAACACTTCTAACAGCTTTTTTTATTAAGTATTAAAACATCAACAGCAGCCAAATTGCAAGTGACATTTATTGGAAATATAATGTGTAGAATAAAGAAGAGTCATAAGGTCACAGAACTAGCCAACTGACATCAGTTATAGTGTCTAACTGTTTGCTAACATTAGTCACCAGAGCTACTGGTCATCAAATACACTTTGTCTTAGATGTATGAAATATGTCTGCGGTTAACACAAAATTAAGAAATTATCCCACTTTGTTCTATGACATAAGATATCAGTAAATATCCTACTTGTGAATTTTGAAACATCAAGCTAACTGTCTTTGATAAAGTCTAATGTTGATAAAGTTTATTTAACATAAAAACATTAGCTTTTCACTTCAGTGTTCATCAGGGAAGATTATCCTTTTGAACAGAATATGTAAGTATCATAAGGATCTTTTTGTCACAAAACTATTCTCTGCTATAATCTAAAACGCATAGATGTTGGCTTTGCTTTTGGTCAGTGGTACCATTGTATTGCTAACATCCATGTTGTTCTACAAAAAATATCATTCCTGCAGCGCTCGATTTGAGAAAAGAAGAATTTGTTCATAGTAAATCCTAGTTTTGGTCAGTTAAAACTATCAGAACCATCAAGTATTGTTGTTTTTATAATCTTTATCTTTAAATGCTAATATTGAGTCACTGTTAAACCATTAAATAGCCGCTTCTTGTAGAGTACAACCTGATGTCCCTGAGGGTTAGTGTTGTTTGAACAGAGTTGTGTACAGACGGACTTAAGTAGCCAAATGTAAGATATAAGTACCTGCTGTGCAAGCTGCATTGGAGAACATTTGAAAATAAAAAAAGACTTTTTCAGGTTTTGACTTTCCCTAGTCGATAAAGCACAGGTGTTACTCATAGTTACCTCGACAGTGAGCCAGCATGAACAACACCAGGACCTGAGACGGAAGCAGCTCATTCACACTTTGTTAATGTTATCACTAGCACTAGTGCTTTTCCATTTGTCAAATGTCTTCATAGAGACGTATTGCATTTGTTGTTGAAACATTAAACTGACTTTATGTTGGGGGAAAAAAAGACATTCTTACTTCTGTTTTTCAGCAGAGTCTCCAGGTCAAGGGGAACTCTTCCATCCTGACCCCTGATAAGAAAAATGGAAACGGTAAAAATTCAGCTTCACAGTGATATCTGGTAGATTTACTTCTACTACTCGATTCCAAAAAAAAAAATATTCCAGAAGGTTTACTTTAGCTTGTGGTGCGTCTCAGTCAGATGGCTTAACTTCACCCGCAAGTCTTTTGCCCTGAAAACAGAAACATTATCATTAATTGTAAAAAATCTGCCATCAGGGCATCAGTAATTTGCATAGAAAACAAATGATCCAGCTGCATACTCACCTCTCCAGGCATGAGGAGGGCAGGGAGGAAAGTCCCTTACACATTGAGGTTTGTTTGAGAAAACGTAGAAAGGTAAAATAAAGACAATTTCTTCTGAGTTTTTCCGTCACTCAGCCTCCCGAGCTTCAGAGTGCTTCTCTTATATAGCCTATACCTTTTGTTATCTGATCTGTCCGATCCTCTAATAACAGCAGCTGTAGGACAGGAGTTGAATGAGAGAGGTGGTGTACGTGCTTACAGTCCACATAGGCCTGTCAACAGGAGACAGCACATAGAATAGGATAATTAAAGCAGGGTGACTTCCAGTACATGTTTGTGTGGTCAGGCATCACTTACTTTCTTTAGAGTCCGACCGGCAGGTGGACTGTTCACATCACTCATCTCTGGAGAGGTGAATGTTAAATGTTGACGGATGAGGCTGGACCAAACAAGACAGAACGCCTAAAACACCATTAAAGCCCCTGTGCAATAAAAATAGTACCTCCTTTTTCTCAATTGTTATGACTTGTACTTTGTGTTTTGGAAACTGCATATGGAGCTCTCAATCAATGTGGATCTCCCTGCAAATGATGTTGTGTCATGAAACTGTCCCATTAAAGGTGGGGTAGGTAATTCACTTCAGAAACACTTTTTGTTATATTCCATGGAATGCTCTTAACATCCCGATAGCAATGAATACATGAAATGCTTTGACAATAAATACATTAAAAAAGTTCATCTTTGGAAGCCGTGGCGCTGTAATTTCACTGTGTGACATTAAAAAGAGGGTTCACAATATCCTCTATTTCCATCATAACATATTTTACTTAAAGCCCCCCTCCACTCGGATATGTATTTTACTTAAAGGTCCTTCACTTTGACCTTCACTGTGCAGAATGATGTATTCTGTTTGCACTTTCAAATCATGTGTTGGGGGGAGCTTTAAGTATTAATAGCTATACACTTATTTGCACTCACCACTCTGGCCACTTCATTAGGTACACTTGTACAACCTTATGTAATTTAAAACAACACATATAGTACATATTCAGATTATTATTGTTAAATATTTAACCATACCTTTATCACTGAGGTAGTTTTCAGTGGTTTTGTAGCTTTATATTGAGAGATGTTTTAACATTATGTCCACCCAAATTACAAATATTACCTTTTTCACAGTGTCAACAACAACAATAGGCTCAGTAAAATTCATGGCAGAGATGTTGAATTGTAGTCATGTTTTCACATAATCACTTCTTAATTTGCTTTTGTCTTTTTTAGTATATTTTAGCCATAAATGGTTGAAAATAATATGTGTATAGACTAAATCTGGTCATAATTTAGCACTGTTCAACAGTGACTGTTGACTTGTGACCTCAGTATTTAATACTTCATTTTTTGAATGATGTGTAGGCCTACAAGTGCCTCGCGATGGAGCAATGCAGTGCGTTGCCACTACACTTGGGGCCTTCTGCCTGATCAAAGCTGTCACTCCGCTTTTTTTGCCTGTCATAGCCCCACTTCCCCATCTGAACACACACCTACACAACGAGACCAGTCAAGTCCATTTGAGATGATGTACTCATCTAAAACTTGGAAAATGTCTCATGTGGTCCTACATTCCAGTGCTTTGCAAAATAATATTTCCTCAACAAAGTTGTCTTTTTAAATAAATCTGATGTATCCAGCTGCAGAGCGAAATATTCACTAGCTCTCACTTGCTCCAAAAGCTGAGCAGCTGAGCAGAGGTTTCTCAATACTCTAATTTCCCCTCCTCGACTCCTCGGTCCTCCGGTTGTGACCCGGAAATGGATTTCAGCGCGCCATGTTAAAGGACATCTCATTTCTCTAAATGCAAATCGAGGACCGAGCATCGAGCATCGAGGAGGCACTGATGGGTCCTCCACGGCTCCTCCACGGATGCATTTTCGGGAACGGTGGAAGCGTTACGCACGGCCGGACTTATCTCCAGTGATGCAAATTAGTTGCTTTTCGGCGCCTCCCGCTTTTTTAACGCTGATTTGGGTGACTTGTGTAATTTGTGGAGAACCGAAGAGTTTTCGTTTTGGGGGGGGGTCGGTCCGTCCATCCGTCCGTCAGACAACTTCTCACTTCAAAAAAGAAGAAGAAATCTAGATCGCAAAATAATTAAACAAGCGAGTGCCTGTTTTTCCTGGCCAAGAACAGGTTCATTGAACACAACAGGAGCGTAACGTGCCTTCACCATAGGTCTTCACGTGGTTATGTCTCGTCTGAAAGGAGTAACGGAGAGCATCGGAACGCCGCTCCAGCTCTTCAAATATTGCAGTACCCATAAAGAGCCGTACACATGCCGCAGTGTTTGCGAGGCTGTGTCTTTAGTTGTAAGCACAGTGGCGATCTGTTGTTATTAGCATCTGGTTAGCTAGCTATGCTAACGAATTTAAAGAGCTTTTCTACAACCAGGTGGAAGAGAGCTCTCTCCTGAGAGGCTCAAATAACCTCAGCTCAGTGAGGTTAAGGCACACCTTGATATGATCATTATAGTTATTAATGAGACATTAGAGACTAAATTATTAACAGGTATAAAATACTATATGACAGTAACAAAAAAAAATGTTTGAAAGGGGAATGATTTGTAAAATATCCAAATAGAAAAATCTGCTTACAGTTCTGTTTCATATGGGTGTTGAAAGATGTATCCATAGATCTCCTCATGTTGCTCTCAAAGTGCACTAGATTGATGCTTTTAACTTCAATATTTAAAAAAAAAAATCTTCCCGGGGGAGCATGCCCCCGGACCCCCCGAGAGGAGGTTAGGTGAGGTCCCCCCCACTTAAATCATGTTCACATGGAGGGGGTCCGGGGGCATGCTCCCCCGGGAAGATTTTTTTTTTTAAATATTGNATCTCCAGTGTTATTGCACTTGCATACATTTGGGGGAAAATAAACACTTTTTTTTTTTTTTTTTAATAATGGTTGAAATTATATTATTACAGACTGAGATCTTCTGGACATTAGTCTTAAGGTTCAATCTCTAAACTACTGGATCCTACGTTCCCCATAATGCAACTTGAAAGCATATTTTCTTTCACACTCACTGCCTCTTAAAAGGACTGCTTCATCCAAAAAATGACATTTGTAAACAGAGAAAAGTCAAACTTTTTCACAAGATCCATTTAGAAACATGTCTTGGCAAATGCGATTCTTTATGCAGTGTTTTAGGTAGCAATGTTTAAAAGAGGTTTTGGAAGTAGTGAGCATAGAAGATTTTTAGTATAGTTTTGCTGTTGTTAAAAGCAGTCCCAATTCAAGACTTTGCTGTTGTAGGTCCTTTGTTCACCTTGGAGGTAAGAAACATGTTTCTTCAGGAATTCAAAGTAACACTGGTTGAGTAATTGATATATACATGGTCATTTTGTGGGTGAGGTGTTGCTTTGATCTGCAAGGTTGACTGTTAGCAGAATATTTGTATCCATTTTTTCATACCACAGTAAGTAACTGCAAGTAACTCTTAACATTTTATTTTTACAAAACAAAAACAGGTACAGATATTGCATTTGTTCAGTTACAGACACACACCAGACACCCTCACTCCAATAGCAGTTTGCCTTTATGTATAAAAACTATAAACTAAATCCTCATTCAGTCCAGCTCTTGGTTTTGGTGGATGCAATACACAATAAACAAAAAAAGATGAAACCAGTAAAATTGAACAAAGTTCACCCAAAGAAAAATGCATCTCTTCAGCATTGGAGCGACTTTTGTTTGTTTTCTATTTGACACAGATTTATATGTTACTAAAGGGCTGTCTGTGGACATATGCATCTCTGTGTGCTCGGCTGTTTCCGTTGCTTCTTCTTTCTTCATAATACAATCCAGGTACATCGGTCACTGTCTGCCAACACTTGCAGGGACGAGCCTACGGGTGAAAGAGGCACAATTCATTATTGTCCTCACACACAAATCAACATTTGCACCTTTGTCTTCAAAATGGTTATGATAGCACATGTTTCTTTTGGCTGGCAGTTAGGATTACATTAGGTCTACACAGTTCTAATGATACCTCCGGGGAGTGTTTACTTCTACGACAGAAACTGACATTCAAATGTATTACACTTTAACCAACACTCATACTAAATAAAGACTTACATTTATCTGAAATAAACACTTAAAATGATCCAAAAAATCCCAGACCACTTGGTATTATTCATACTGGCTCACAAGGTCAGTAATGATGTAACATGGGTGTATTAATGTGTGAGGAGGTAAAGAACTGTGTAATATGGGTCTAATAACAGTGTAAAGTGTCACGATAGGTAAATTATAGGTATACATTAAAATGTGATGGACTGAAAAGCTGTTTTTGTTTTTTTCTGGCTGCTGATCTAGCCCAATTTTACAGCAGACATAATGACATGTCATAGTAGGAAGACACAGCTGAAGACACATTACCGTTTTATTTAATCGTCCCAATAAGCCGGGACAATGTGACAGTGAGCCAAAATGCACTATTCAGCCATCATTGTTTACACCTGTGTGTTTCCTGCAGGGTCAAAAGGGCTTCTGTATCTTTTCCAGGCTGACACACTTTTATGATTTACTGGGACATTGAAATAGAACAGCACCATCATTAACGTTATTACTAACACCTGTGTTTTTCCTACTGTAACAAGTGTCAAACTGTCTGCTGTGAACAAGTTCCTCTTGTGGGGGTTTAGCGACACACTTGAAAGGTGCAAAGCTAGCATTAGTTTAACCTGAGCTTTTCCTGCTGCGACAAGTCAAAATGTGATCCATTATTAGAGACATACTGTTGCATGATGTGAACAAAAAAATGGTTCTAAGCCTGGCAAACAAAGCAGTGATATATAAAAGTGTATTTAGATGTCTGTCAAAGTCTTAAAGCAAATCAAGCTTACAGGCATTAGCTAGAGGCTGTATCAGAGAAAATGTTCTAATACTGCATCTACATTTGCGTACTGATGTGTTATTTTCAGTGCATCAGTGTAAATAATTTGCTACTGTCAATAATGACATTGCTAGCTAGCTAACAGTTCTGAGGGCACAGCAGCTGTGTGCGATTTAAAACAATTCTAGTTGAGATTCACCCCCCACGCAAGTGTTCAGTGTACAAAATGACAGTGTACTTGGGAAAGTATCTGAAAGGCAAAAAAGCTCTTGTTATGTCAGCTTAAGCCAAGCACTCTGTATCTGTTGTTGAAACCTACCAAAACATTAAACCTATTGAAATGTGCAAAAACAATGACGGTCACTTCACTTTAAGACAGGTGAGTTAGAGGTGTTGGTAACATCTGTAGAGGAATTCAAAGATGTGTGTGTGTGTGTGTGTGTGTGTGTGTGTGTGTGTGTGTGTTTGCATGTGTAACCATAACTGTTTGGTGGCAACACATTGTGAGTGTCTACCGTATGCCTCTCTTTAGGTTCTACCTGCTGGCATTTTGTTATTTTTCTCAAAGGCAATAAACAAGCAGCCATTAGGAACGTTGGCAAGTAAGGACAGCTAAATGGTACACCTTATGATAGGATAGGAGAAATGGATTAGGAACTGTTCATCTAATATAAATCAGGTCCTTACCCTATTACCATGGTTACCAATCAGTTAAGATGGCATCAGCAAGTAAACATGTTTATTTAACACGGCCCACACTGTTCAGATG